GGCGGGAGCGTGCGAGCCGCGAGGAAGCCCAGGCTGGGGGAAGTTCCTGCCGACTGAGGAAGGGCCGGCGGGGCGGCGGCTGTGGGCCGATGCAGGAAAGCCAGGAAGTTTGAGCCCATCCGGGTCGCCTCGCCTCGCCTCCTGTGAATCAGCAGCCGCCCGCTGAGGACCCGAGATGCCACCCACGTCCTGCGTGGGCCGCAGCGGGGGTGACACGTCCAGAGTTGTGCCTCCCGAGGTGGAAGAATGCCTAGTGAAACGACTCAAACTTCCGAAAGCGTCGCGTCCGAATTCCCAGGGAGCAACTTGGAAATCCGTGTGTTGATTGGAGCCCCTGTTAAGTGAAGAGGGTTTTCCCCAGGAGGAACTCATTAATACCTGTCGCCGAGGGGGACCAGTCTTGAAATGCCGTTGGTGGAGAGAGGAATGAACTGGCGTGTTTATAAATAACACGACCTTAGGTGTGAATGCTTTTGCTAGCTTCGTTGGGAAGGTGGGGACAAGATTTGAAGAGACTTCCCTGGGAAGTAGGCTACCAAAAAAAAAAAAAAAAAAAAAAAAAAGAGAAAAAGAAAAAAGAAATTACTGGTGAGATCGTTCGGTAGTCCTCGGTGCACCACGGGCCATCGATACTTTTTAATGAAAAATGAAACAGAGCCAGATGTAAGATGATAACCTGAAGAACAAAAGCATCTAGCAAATATTGAATAGAGAAAAATAGGGGAAGGAATATTAAAGATTTTGGAATCAAGTATTTGTAGCTGAGTTTCTGCAGGCATTTATATCCAGGGAAAGCCATACAGCTCTCTAGGTAAATTTTGTTCGGGAAGTTTCCAGGATGATCCAGCTGACTGCCCCCCTGGCAGAGAATCCTGTGGTCTATTCAGCCTTTTTGTAATAGAGGAAACCGAGTAACCTGCCTAAAGCCTTACAGAACTGGAACTACATTTAAATGTCTTCATTTTTATTTATTTATTTTTATGTGTATGCGTGTGTTCCCTGCATGTAGGTAAGTGCACCCGTGTCGTGCAATGCCCGCGGAGGTCAGAAGAGGCTGTTGGATCCCCTGGGACTGGAGTTACAGACAGTTGTTAGCTGCCATGTGGGTGCTGGGATTCGAACCAGGTCTTCTGTAAGAACAGTCAGTTTGTTCTTAATCGCTGAGCCATCTCTCCAACCCCAAATTTCTTCATTTTTATATCCATTTGTTTTTGTGCCACACCACTGTTTGTTACAAATACCACAGGAAAAGAAGAGCCTGGAAATCATGGTTGACCTCAGACAGTGAATATGAAGTTTTATTTTTCCTGGAGAAGAAAAAATTGTTGTAATTTTGGTCTATGTATCATGGACTGACTGGTTCCCTGGTGATCTGTTTAAAAATTATAGATAAAGCTGGGCAGGTGTGTTAGCACACACCTTTGATCCCAACACTCCAGAGGCAGATGCAGGCAGATCTCTGTGAGATCAGGAAGGCCAGCCTGGTCTCCATAGCAAGTTCCAGCCAGCTGGGGCTACAGGGAGACCCTGTCTCAAAAAAAAAACCATAAAACACAAAAACAACAAAAATGATGGATAATAGTGCCTTTCTTAATTACCTCGCTTGTGTATAATAAGTACCCCCCCAATATTATTCTAGCCTGTGTTTTTTTTTTTTTTCTAGCCTGTGTTTTATAGAGGGTGTGTGAGGTCAGAGGACAGCACAGCACAGTGGAGCCAAAAAGGAGCCAAAGCTGCCCTGTTAGAGGGCATCCATGCAGGAAGCAGTCTGGTGTGCAGGGTTCTATGAAGGCAACACCAGAGTAAAGTAAAAACATTGATTATGTACAGAGGATTGATTAAAAAGGTAATTATACTAATGAAAATGGGAGCCCTGTTTCTCCCTGTTGAAGAGGAGTTACAAATATGGAAAAAGAAAACTAGGGAACCTTTGGATAGAACATTGGCAATAGAGGTATTGATCTCTATTTGGAGAAACAAATATAAGCGTGTATATAGTTGTCCCTTGAGAGAATTGGTGAGTAGTGAACTCATAAAGCAGTCCAGAGCTTGGCCTCAAAATTCCATTTTCCATTTCACTTTTCTTGGCAAAATAGTTGATTCTAGGACTGAAGAAGAAAAAATGCAAGGTGAGCATGGAGTCTTCTGTTTATAGTCAAAGAATAGTAAGGAGTGTCAAAAGAATATAGACCAGCTTGTATATCTTGGGAACAATAGAGAACAAATGAGCTTTTTTTTATATATATTATCCAGTGTGTGTGTGTGTGTGTGTCTATGTGTCTGAGAGAGAGAGGGAGAGGGAATAAGAATGCACATGCCACAGCACATGCAGGTGTAGAGGTCAGAGAACAACTTTCAGGAGTCAGTTCTTCTGTCGTGGTTTCTGGGGATGGAACAAACTCAGGTCATCAGGCTTGCATGGCAACACTTACCACTGAGCCATCTCACTGACCCACAACAATTTTAACGATGATGTATTGCAGCCCATTGAATCAGATAGGAACTCATACAAATACAAAATGAAATTGAAAGCTGGAAAGCCGAATAAGGATTGTAACATAATTGTAACATAATTTCAAGTAGCTCCCTACAAAATTATTAGTAATTACAAAGGGAGGGCTAGGGGTACACCTTAGCATAGGGAGGGCTTAGAGTAGGGAGGGCTAGGGGTATACCATAGACTAGGGCTTGCCTAGCAAGTAGAAGGACTTGGGTTCCACCCCCAGTACTGCAACAACAAAAACATAACAAAGGAAACTAGAGTCATTTGATGTTGCTGAAAAGCCTGGTAGACAGCATTTGAAACACCATCTCAGTCAACTGATCAAGTGCCATAAATAATGAGGAAAAATGACACTCCACTTAACAGAATTCAATAAGAAAAGTTTTAGTAAATCCCTGTATTCATATTCAGTCTACCTAACAGAGCCTGCAGTTTAGAAATAAAAGTAGTTTTTAAAGGGCACACGAAAAACAACAGGACGGAATAAAAACATTATAAGGATTAGAAAAAAAAAAAAAAACCTGTAAAGAAAGGTTAAAGATATTGTAAACACAGATGTTCAACATTGAGAAGAAAAGGATGAAGTGTAGAACTCTAGATAATGCCAAATTTTTAGTGACAGCCTCCAGACATAGCAATTATGTACATGAATTTGGATTCTGCAACCTACTATCTCTATGACAACTTATGCTTAAGTTTTAGTTTTTTCATCTTAATGAGAATGATAAGAATATCTTCCTCAGCATAGGGTTCATTAAATGAGATAACCAACTGCTGAGCAGGATTCTTAGCACATGATAAGCCATACCACCACTGACTGCAATTGTTGTTAACAGTATTAGGACCAAAGAGCAGCAGGAAAATTATCTCAGAGTACGAGAGAATTTAAGAAAAATAGGGACCAGCAAGATGGGTCAGTGGGTAAAGGTGCTTGCTACGAAACAAAACAACCTGAGTTCCATACCTGGGAGCTATATGATAGGAAGAGAACCAACTCCTGAAAGTTGTACTCTGATCTCCATATGCATACCCTGGCATGTCTTGTCCATACAGACAAGAAAGGAAGAAAGGAAAAGTAGGAAACTTAAAAGAATTATTTCTACTTTTCTGTATTTTTAATTGCCCATAATGTTTTCAAATATAGTCTTTTTCTTTATTCAAAAATTAAATGAATTATATTTATGTAGTTGGTGATTTCTTATTCTACATTTGTCTACAGTTGTTTGTGTTTTGTTTGGTTGTCGTTGTTTTGGGCTTTTTGTTTGTTTGTTAGAAAGAGGATCTCATGATGTCGCTGTGGCTGTCCTGGCACTCACTATATAGACCAGGCTGGCCTCACACTTTCAGAGATCTGCCTGCCTGTGCCTCCCAAGAGCTGGGATTAAAGGTGTGCGCCACCATGTCTGGCCTTTTTTATAGTATGTTCTAGAGTTATACCTGTTTTCCAGATAGCAAATGTTAAGCTTTACAATCTAAATGGCTTATGAAATGAGGTAAAATACAGTCCATCCTAAATGGGAATTGAGAGAAACAGTGTGTGTGTCTGTGTGTGTCTGTGTCTATGTGTGTGTCTGTGTCTATGTGTGTGTTCACAGTCTCATAATCTACCCAGGACTGTGCCACCATCCCTCTATCCCTAATTTAATAAGACATGCTACTCATGAGAGTGTGCTACACAGGTGAACATCATGATACTGGGAGACGTGGAGAACCACGGTGATATGCCCTCTTTTTTTGATATTTTATTTATTTTATGTGTATGAGTGTATTACCTGAATGTATGTAAGTGTATCCGTGTCATGCAGTGCCCATGGAGGTCAGAAGAGTTTATTAGATTCCCCTAGAACTGAAGTTAAGGATGGTTGTTAGCCGCCATTTGGGTGCTGGGAATTAAACCTGGGTCCTCTGCAAGAGCAGCCAATACTCTTAACCACTGAGACATCTCTCCATCCCTGATGATGCACTCCTATAAAAAGTTCCACTGTCACCCTAGTCCAACCATGAATAAAAGCATCTCACACAGAGGGGCATTCTATAAAGTGACAAAATTCTGTAAATCTGTCAAGGTCATGAAAACCAAGGAAAGTCTAAGAAACTGTGACAGCCACAAGGA